TCTGTTAGTCTTAAAGGTGCCCCAGGACCCTCTGTTGCTTTATACATGTGACAGAAGATTTTCAAGTCAAAGATTGCATAATACTCAGCATTTATATAGTGCTTTTAATCTTCAAAGCACTTTCTAACCATTAATTAATCTTCAACATCCCTGTGAGGTAGGCAAGTATTGTTACCATTTTATAGGAGAAAGGTGACCAGCCTAGTGTCATACAATGAGTCCAAATGGAATTGGAGCACAGTAGTTACTGGCTACTAGTCCTGCACTCAGATCCTACCTCTCAAACTCTGAACTAGTTTTTGCAAAATGTTTGCCATTTACAGGAAACCACTTGTTCACCGTACGCAGTTGCAACGGCACCCATTCATGAATGAATTTCTGGCTGTACTATGTGTTGCTGTAGTGTGACATGCAGAACTGTTGCAGTTCTGTTGTAAACAGCTGTGTCTTAGTTGCATGGACAAAAGATGATGACAACAAAAAAGTACAAAAAGGTTTGTGAATATTAAAGCAAAGTCCCAAACATCATACTCTTCTCTAAATTATAAACCCTGCCCTTGTAGTACTGAAATGGCTGGGACATTTTTGGTTTGGTCTGAAGCATGAGAACAGTGTTTGCAAACAACAATGATACTTTAGAGGACTCATTACTAAAAAAGCAACTCCAGTAGGTAAACAATCAAACAAACCCAAAACATTCCTGCAAAGCAAAAAGCAATTGCTTTTTTTCTTGTTGTATTGGGTCTGGCATGGTAGATTTACTTGATCTGTGACAGGTTTGTATCCTGAAGAGAAATATACCTTCTCCAAAGCTCTAACTGGATCTACTCTGACAAAAAGCAAAGTGCTGTTATTTAGAGATAAAACTTTTATCAACAAATCCAGAAGAGGCATTCTTGGTTACAGCTAAAACAGTTTAATCACTGGTACTGCACCATGTTCCTACTTACCTATTCTTCTGTGCTTAAAAATATATTTCTCAATGGTCACGCCAGTAATAATAAAATAATATATGGAGATATACCTATCTCATAGAACTGGAAGGGACCTTGAAAGGTCATTGAGTCCAGCCTCCTGCCTTCACTAGCAGGACCAAGTACTGATTTTGCCCCAGATCCCTAAATGGCCCCCCTCAAGGATTGAACTCTGGGTTTAGCAGGCCAATGCTCAAACCACTGAGCTATCCCTCCCCCCACAGCAGCAGTGGGCAGCTCCACTCCAGTTTCAGTAAAAAGGCACAGTATTTTTTGGTACTTTGTCAATTTCATCTTATGATGGAAGAAATCTCTGGCACCTACAGTCAAAGAGATGCACTAAGAAGCATAACATGATTATGGAATTAAATTTAGAACTAAGAGCTCTTCTCAGACAGCTGCAATCTGCAGAATACTGTGCAACATTAAAGGACTTAAATGGAAAGAACAGATGAAAGACTGGAGGAGCACATGTGACATCACAAGTTATACTCTAACTCTACTTTTCAAGAGTATGAGCAGAACAAAGAGAATGGATAGGAAACAAGGAATCAGTTTCATGTATGAATCAAACTACTCAGTAACTCAGGATAGGATATAACGTTTCAGAGCTTGCTTTTGGGTTAATTCATTTCCCACAGGCATCTGTTATTCATCCTCAGTAGACACCAGATCTGCCAAGTTTGAACACTGAAGACCTGGTTCTGATCTCACTGACACTGGGGTAAATCAGATGTTATGCCACTGAAGTTAGTGATATTACATCATTGCAAATGAACTCTGAAAAGGTCCTATAAACAGATGAAAAATATCTCCATATTTTTCTTATTTTTCTTGATTTCCAGTTCATTTTAGTCATATGCCAACAGCGAGCAGCAATCTCTCCACCTGCTTTTAGGTGGTTCATCAAGACAATACAGAGCTGTGCGAATCCTATCATCACCACAAAGCAGATGGACTCTACTATTCCAACAAAAAACACTGAGATCCTTCCTGGATGTTTCTGATCACACTCCCACTAACTAAACAGATCAATCTAGGAGCATCTGTGGAATAAAAAAAATCTAATGCCTAATAATAATTTCTTTTTAGATCACTCATTGGGTTGGAGCCCTACCTTCTAAATGCCAAATTAAAGCCAAAGAGTGAGTGTGTGTGTGTGTGTGTGTGTGTGTGTGTGTACATATTTTCTATATTATTTGGATTCATATTTGCAATACACTGATGTAGGTAAAGAGATAAAAGCTCTATTCCATCAATAGAAGTAGAAAAACAGCTTTATCTGTAAACAAGATTGTAGTATGCAAAATGGAGAATGAGTAACGAAGAAAAGATAAGGCAGGTACTCCTTTTCACCATCTTTCATAATGCCAGAAAAATGGGCAACCAAGGAAATTAAAAGGCAATAGATTTAAAAATCTGATCAACAGGAAAGACTTTTACACAAACATAATTAACCTGTGAAACTCACTACCACAATATATGAAAGTCAGGGTTTTTTAAAAATCAGACATTTATACTGATAGTGAAAAGTATCCCCAAATGCATTAGATATGATAAAATTCTATAAAGGATGTAAACCCTCCTGCTTCAGGGCAAATGCCAATCACTAAATGCACAGGATTCAGTAGATAGGGTAAGTATGTACTGAATTCCATGTGCTGATTCTTCCATAATTATCCATTGAGGCCATTTTTCTGTGGAAGCATCTGGTACTAGCTGCTGACAGAGACAGGGTATGGGGCTGGCTGGACTATTTGTTTAGCTATCCCTATCCTATGCAAAGAAACTGAAGCAAGCCCTGGTTTTGACTAGAGAAGTCACATATGGAGTCATAGGACAAGTGACCCAACCCACAACTTTCTTGAAACCAAACTAAGTGTAAGAAATATTAAAATAAAAATAGATCAGGAAATGACACACAGTTAAAAAAAATCGAATACACAAAAAGAACAACCTAGTGCTGGGCACTGTGTGCATCAATAATACAAGAGCTTTTCTTGTTAAAATGTTATCCTTTAAATACATAAAATCACACAGAAAAACTGAACAAGTATGTGCAGGGTTCTGATAGCATTACCAACAACTCTGGGGGTGCACCGGGGAGGCCCTGAGTACATGTACAGCACTTTGCTAGCCTTTAAAGTTATGTTTGCACACTCAGCCAACATACACACTGTAAACAAAGCAGCTCCCACTCCAGATACTGCAGTGACTCAATGGGGCAGCGTCTAAGAGAGGCCAAAGATATCAACCACTTGGAAGTAAATGTTTGTCATGCCCATGTGATGGACAACAGGGTCTCATTTCTGTTTAAACACAAACAGTGCAATCCTATTTCAAGCCAGAATGTGCTGTCCCTTACAATGGGCATCTTACAATAAGCAATCAGTGTGTGTGCTTCTTGAAGGGAAAAGATTTCAGTGAGGAGAAAGATTTCAGGTTCAAGCTTTCCAGGGTCAATATAAATAATAGTGAGGTTAAAGAAAAAAGAACCTGAAATTCACTAAAATCCCTCATGAGCAGCCAGTTCACATTGTGTGTGTCTTCTGTTCAGGTTCTTATACCACACCAAGGATCAACATACCTAAGCACTCCCATTCTCTGCTCCTCACTTTCGATTCATTCCTTTGATACTGGCTCTCTATATTTTACTTTTCCGTCTGAATTTTAAGATGAAAAAATACAGCATTTTTGTTTCTACTTAATAATAAACACAAACAACAGATACACAAACTCTATTTACAAGGGTACTTGTATTAACATCAGATTCTGGATGGCTTTACTGCCACACTCAAGCTCTGTATGTACATTGTATTGTATATATCCATACCACACACAAAGCTATACACACTAATAGGGGTGAGTGCATCTGTGTATTTGCATATATACTTCTCTATCTTTGCAAGCTCCTACACTCAGACTTTAGGCACCTGTGAGTGTGTGAGATACACTTTTAAAAATACAGTACTTCAATTAAAAGCAAGTGAAGGGAGGTGCGTTTCTGCTCTTGGGCACCCATGCGGCTGAGCTGCACTGATGGGATTCAAGAACATGAAGCTTAAATAAATGACATCCAAAGTCAATGCGAAGCACGTATGTCATGGGACCTCCAGTGGGCTCTGAAACAAACATATGTGATGACAGCTGATACGGTGTTGGAATTATCCCTCTAAAGAGCTTCCTTTAGTGTAACAACTCCTAGGAGTGATGGAGCTTTGTGCTGTTTTAAAGGACAGACCCAGACATGTGGGAAGATACTTTCACTAGACAAGAAGGGACTCTGCCTCCATCACACCGCATGACCTAGCCTAGCAGTTTAAGTTTGGGTATCTAAAGCACCTAACGTGCACCCTTTGACAGTCCGGAGAGCCCCTCTGAGAAAATGCAGCTCCTCGGTTTAGGGCTTCAGTTTGCCCTCCTTCACTAATCTCTCATTGAGTTGGCAGAGCTGCTTCAGGAAGCCATCATTGGGCCCAATCTCCCGCTTCTGCCGGACAGCGCTCACTGCGGACTTGACATTCATGTTCTGGCGAAGCATCAGATACGCAATGACCAGTGTCGGGGAGCGGCTGTAGCCTTCACGGCAGTGCACAAACACCCGGCCTGTACAGGGAGAACATACAGAAAACAACAGATTATAACGGAGACTATCGTGGGAAGCACTACAGAAACACCTTTGATGGAAGGATGAATGAACAGAGTAAGATTGGTCCTTCAGCAGCCCAATGACTGAATTTTGAATGGTCTCAGCTAGAAGACAGGCACTGTGTCTTTGTTAGCAGCCACGCCATCATCCAGCAGACTGCAAAACAATTACACATAATAAACACCTGTACAAATTAAAGCAGAAAATATCATATTTGTTTCCAAAGAGAGAAGAATTGGACTCCTTCCATTTGCTAAGCTCCTGCAATCTTTCGGCCTAGAATAAGGTTAGCAGCCTGCAGGACTCCCTAACTTCATCTTCTGCAGAAGGACCAGTGTGGTAGAGAAATTAAAAACACAGAATTAAAAGTATGCAAGACTGCAGATGCATGGGATAAACAGAGACTCGGTTGTTGTTTGGATACAACACATTTCACAAAGCAAGATACACATCCTTTATGCTGTAATCCTAGCACTTCCTATGTCTCTACCTCAGTTACACCTTCCTCTGCTTCTGAAGTCACATTAGCATGTAAGCGCTCTCATTTTAGAGAAGCTGCCCATTCAGCAAACAGGATACAAATGGAAGTGCTGACTATGCAGCACCAATAGCCAGCAGAACCCATTACAAAACATACCTGCACCGAGAGCAAACAGAATGCGGCCAGCTGACTGAGACAGGATTCTGAATGCTATTACTCCAGCTATTTGTGCTGAATGTGCTGTAAATAAATAACCAATAAGAAATGAAATAAAATATCACCTCCATTCTCCCTGTTTGAAATCTGGCCCAAGTTGGATTGCTCTCAGGTTGCCTTGGGCTATTGAGATCCTTGAGAGAATTTTTTAGGAATATCAGCATTGCAACCTTTGTGTTAATTTAAAGGCTGATCTCCTAACCACTCTCCTTTATGTCTATAATATTTATTAATGGAACTTGGTGCCACTTCTCTTTCCATCTTTGCTCATCATTGCAGTATTCGAGAAAAGTTATTACTATCACTACAGGAACGAAGGAGAGGCTGGTGACCTGTCTGAAAAAGGAAGGGGAGTGAAGCCAATGAACTCCCTGCACTACCATACATTACAAATAATTTTAACAATGGATTCATTTAATAACTGGAATGGACCTTTAGCCTAGCTAAAAGTCTATTACTTTTTGCATAATAACTAGACAGGTAGGTCAGAAGTGGCATAAGAGCAGCACCTGAGACTTAAGGAGCCCTATCAGAATTAACAAGGGCACTGAAAATTCAGAGTAATTTTGTCACTATTATCCACATTTCTGTGAGCACCATCCAAATTGAGCAGGTGTAGCAGGACTTCTGTGCCTCTGCTACAGTTCACCCCAACTGCCTGGACCGCCTAAACTCTCCTTCCCAGTGTAGGCCTGTTTCCCTGGCTCACAAAGCTACTAGGAAGAGGCAAGTTCTTGCTTTTGGAATTCATCAGATTGACCAAACTGTAGGTTGTCAATCCCCTAACCCCCCCATCCCAAAAAAATAAAAATATGCCAAAGGCAGATCCCCCTGGACTTCCTAGAAAGAGTTCTCTCTCCCCCTCTGCAAAAGACTCTTCAGCTGTTCAGATGTGGGCTGAGAAAATCATTGGGAGCGTGTGAAGAAATATGAAGTAAGTAGAAATAAGGAGCTGACGAGAAGCACAAGCTGACCTACTGCACTCTGGGCGTCTAAGATTTCAGTACAGGGGAGACCCATGTTACAAGCTTTGCTTTGCAGCATTGCCGCAAGTTTTCCTGGGACTCTGGGGAGCAGCAAGGTATCTAATATTATACCAGAACTTCCATTTGAAAATGTTTAAGATAATTTGGTGCAGCAGAAATTCCAGGGGGCACATACCATAACCAGATAATCCATCTGACGTGAGAGTTCTCAGAGCTAAAAATCTCATGACTCAGACGTTGTTTCTTTTAACCAAGCAGCAGTCAGTTTATTCAAACCAGAGACAGCTTTTATCTACTGTTCTGATCTTCTGACTAGTGACAGTGTTTGGAACCAGCATGGGAGTGTCACCCTTTCTCTCTCTCTCTTTAACAGAGTCCCAAAGAAATGTTTAATCAGAGGAGCTGCTACACCAATTCCCAGTTACCATTTCTTCTTGTTCAAATACACTGGCGCTACAACAACACCTTCTGCAGACTCTTTTGGATTACTCATCACTCAACTTGCTTTATACCTTCAAAGCACTGAACAAACATTAATTAATGCCCTTACAATTTCACTCATATTAAGGACTGTCACATTCAACTCTAGAGTAGATTAACCCTGCCCTCTGTACAAGCACTGGGGCCTTGGCAAAGTCTATAAACTTCTCCTGATGAGGAAATTCTACAGATGGCCCAAATTCACGTCTGTCTAGAGGACGTCTCAATTGGTGTAATTTATACCTTCTTCTGTACCACCCCCTTATGTGTATATTACAGAATCTTAGACTGTGTAATTTACACCCAATCCTACATGCCATCTCCAAATTTAGCCCACTAAGAATAAAAGAGTAAGTTGATACATCTCACTTCACATCTGGCCCCATGATGAGTAAAGCAATGAGCAGGGCATTCTAAGGGCATGTACAGTCAAGACAGCTACCCTCCCTCCTCCTTCTCCTTAGTTACGAACTCGCTTTCCTTGCACTGTTCACCTAGGAGCCGACTGGGTCATTGTTGGCTTTTTATTACTGTTAAAATGAGGGCTCTGAATAAAAAAACAACAACCCAAACCTTGAATTCCCCCAGATTTCTGCCTGTTGTGTAACCTCTTCAGACTCCCTTGCTATGCTTTCCACCTCAGTTACATGTGAAGGAGACCCCAGGGGAGAAAGAAGCAGCACTGAGTCAGTTGTGTTAAAATATCTGAAAATGTCAGTGATTCCCCTGACATCCATAAAACCTGCTTCCTTTGAGCTGGAGTTTTTGGTCCTTATCTGCTGTCCTACTTTCTGAGCATTCATGCTACATCTAAAGATGACCAAGTAAACAACAGAGGAGCAATTAATCAAATCCTAAAAGGTCTGCCTGTTTTTGGTGAATGGGGTGCAGATAGCAAATGCTGTTCAGTGTAGAAAACTGTTAATTAATTTGTGAGAAAGGACCCAATTGGGAAAATACTGGTATGATTCCTCATTTCCAGCTGAGGGAAACAGAACAGAATTCACAGGGGGAAAAGAGATTAAATGAAAAGCATTGAACACAGCAGAATTAGCTTTTTTCAAAAAACAACAACTTTTATTGCACAAAAGTCAGCAAAATAAATGGAATACCTTCCTAATATCACTATTCAATGTAGGCAACTGCTGTAGCTGCCACATGGACGTTGTGTGACCATGAACGGGAGAGGAGATGCTTTATATGATGTGAATGGGAGAGGAGCTGCCCCCAAAACACTCTTTCAAGAGGTTGACAATATATTGAAGGTGTTTCTAAACCTCGGTTTCAAAGGGACAATCACACAGTGCATGGTCAAAGAAAGGTTTGTGAAAACATAGTTGTACCCCATCAGTCCAGGACAGAAGAGTGAACACATGGCATAACAAGTTCCTGAGGCTAAAGGGGGGGCTGATATATTGGGCTGGGGATGTTATCTTATTCCTAGAATTCCTTGCTTCTGGGAAGGACAGTGGGGTAAAACAAAAACAAGGATATTCCCTCTGAGCCTTGTGCAAATAGAGCTGTTGACAGAGGAAACAGCTGCTCAGCATGGATTGATGGATGAAACCTATGGATCATAATTTAACTGATTTTAGTTGCATTTGTTTCAAGAGTGTGGAAACTTATGCCCACTGTCAGGAAAACGGATAAAGAAAAGGCCATGCTCAAATGCATGGGGGCTTATGATGCAATAACATAATGCCCTTTTTAAAAAAAGGGAGAATTCCTTCACAGTCATATAAAATATAATATACCCACTACCCCTGCTACCAGAAAGAAGAAAAGAAATAGGTAAGTGAGCTCCTAACATAAGAACGGCCGTACTAGGTCAGACCAAAGGTCCATACAGCCCAGTATCCCGTCTACCGACAGTGGCCAATGTCAGGTGCTCCAGAGGGAGTGAATCTAACAGGTAATGATCAAGTGATCTCTCTCCTGCCATCCATCTCCACCCTCTGACAAATAGACAAACCCTAACCACTGAGAGAGTGGGGTTTAGATACTCACAAACAATAGGGGCCAGGTATTTAAAGATATTTAGATGCCTAGTGGGATTTTCAAAAATACATAGGTGCCCTATGCCAGGGGTAATCAATTATTTTTTGTCAAGATCCAAATTTCTTGGTCAAGGTATACTCAATGTCCAGACTCCAGAGAAAATAATATAAAAATAACAACAATAATGATAAGTAAATAAAAAGATTTTGTGGTCTGTTCCAAAGCATCTTGTGGTCCGGATTTGGCCCGCAGTCCACCTATTGACTACCTTTGCCCTATGCTAAGAAATTATCCACTCTTGCATGTGTTATTTGCATTTAATCTGCATCTCTAATATTAGCTTGTGTTGCAAGCTGAGTATTGCATTTTACAATGTCCTTCCTGACTCTGATTTATGATTTTTACTGTCTTGAATTAGTGTTTGGGTCCTGTGTTACTTTCCAGATTTTCCATTCTGATCCACTAATATGTTCAGGCAATATTAAAGCCTCTCTTCCTAGCATAGCATTTCCAATATGATTTTTCCTTGACACTTTCATTGCTAAGATGCACCAGCTGTTTTACTCTCCCCAAATCACCCACTGCTGTGGCAGTTTTCCATTGTTTCATACATTGAGGGGCTCTGTTCACAGACAGCAAATTCTACATTGTATATTCAAGTGCCCTAAACTCCTCAGCAAGGAGTCTAAGTCCTGATCTAAATGCTTTGGTTTCTGTTCCACTGAAAAACTGAGGAAAGAAAAAAGGAATATTTCAAACAATGAAACCAATGGCCAGTAAAGTCACATACTGGCTAGAAAACAGGGCAGAGAGACTCTTGGAGATGCCTTACCATCCTTCTGGGACAGCGCACTGTCAATAAAGTCAGCTGCCTCCTCAAAATAGCGACTGAGGTTAAATTCTTGGGTGTCATTAGCTTTAATGCCATGGTAGGTGATGCCTGTGCCTTCGTAGAACTCTGCATTAGTGTTCACATGCATGAAGGATTTTCCCTCTGCTGCATTCAGGATGTGGGTTATGCCCAGGCGCTGCAACCTCATGATATTCTTGGCTATGAACCTGGAAAGTAAGAAGTATCAAGAAAACAATTGGGGCTTAGCAAATCACATAAAAAGAGGCCAAACTCTCAGTATTTTCAAGTGCCCTCAGAATCTATAACAAAGCCCCCTGCTGCCCACAGAATTACAGAAATGTAGGACTGAATGGATCATCTAGTTCAGTCCCCTGCACTGAGGCAGAACTCAGTATTATCAAGACCATCCCCAACAGGTGTTTGTGGAATCTCCATCATTGACAATTTTTAAGAACAGGTTAGACAACCTCCCTTGGTAATTTGTCCAGTGCTTAACTACTCAAGTTAGAAAGTTTTTCCTAATGTCCAATCTAAATCTCCTTTGCTGCAATTTAAGATTACTTCTTGTCCTGTCCTCAGCGAAGGAGAATTAATTTATCACCCTCCTCTTTATAACACGTTGATTGCTATCACCTTTTTATCTTCTAGGTGCTTACAAACTGATTGTTTGAGTATTTGCTCCATTATCTTTCCAGATACCGAAGTTAAGCTGACTGGTCTATAATTCCCTGGGTTGTCCTGATTCCCCTTTTTTATAGATAGGGACTATATTTGCCCCTTCCCATCCTCCACAAGTTCTCAAGGATATCGCTACTCCTGTCCCTGTTATTTCATTAGTTGTCCCCTAGAATCACTTGGCTTCCAGGTCCTGTGGATCCTCCCCTTAGGCTGTGGGGAGGTCCTTTAGCAGTTCCGCCTGCCCACTTCCTGGATCCCAACAGGATAGTTACTCAACAGTCTGCACTCACCAGTGAGTCTCCTACAGATTTTTATCTCAAAAGTTGATCATATTTTTAGCCTGTTCACACAGGCTGTAGTCACACATGTACTGCGAGCTACCATGGTCACCACCTGTGACTGAGCCCTGCCTTCCTTGGCGGTGGGTGAGTAGAGAATATCTGGGACCCCAGAGGCTGTCAATACCTTCTGTGACAAGAGGAATCCACCACTCCCTCTAAAATATGCAAGTCTGAGCAGTACTAAGAAACCATCATGGATGTTATGAAGGAGGCCTTGCAAGTCACTGCTCCTTGTTTAGCCTTTTTCTACACAAGGTAATCGAGAAACAGTTAAAAACAGCCAACAGCACCAGCTGCCAGCATCCTGGATCCCCCTGCCAGGCTTCAGGCCAGGACACAGTACAGAAATAGAACATGTTGCTCTAGTGCAAAGATGGGGAACCTACGGCCCACGGGCTGGATCCGACCTGTTGCTTAATTTCATGTGGCCCGCGGCAAGTCTCAGTGCCCTCCCCTCATACCCCCTGCGGGGCTGGAGCCATGAGCGCTGGCTCGCCCCACTGCGGGGGGAAGCCTCGGGTGGGTAAGTTGAACGTTTTATATTTCTCTCTCTAAAACAACCCCTAAATTAAGTTGCTTTTTACTTGCGTGTGGTCCACGATTGATTTTTTTTATGTGGGTCAATGGCCCGTGATAGAAAAAAGGTTCCCCACCCCTGCTCTAGTGGATGGCCCACAGGCAAGGGAATTCCATTCACACTCATCCTCTCTGTGGCATCTGATACTGTTGATGGCAAATACCCTCGACCTACCTCCAAGAACATGCAGGGGTGAATGAAAACACCTTGAAATGGCTTAGGTCCTTCCTCTCAGACTGAACAAACTCAGGGGGTTGTTCTGGGTAATTGTTCCTCCACCTCCAAAGGCCTCGCCTACAGAATCACAACAAGTTCAATCCTTGCTCCGTATTATTCAATATCCATGAAGCTACTGAGAGCTGGTGTGACAACACATGCTGCAGTGCCAGTATTACACAGCCATCTCCCTGCTCTCAGTCTCAGCTGAAATCAGCATCTGGCAAAAGATGAACCCAAGGAAAAGGGAGGCTATAATTTTAGGAAAATGGAAACATTTTGAAGTATTTGCCTCATTGTTCATACATTGTAAAAGTTGGCCCACAGCTTATAGGTCCCTTCAGATTCCTGTTCTATCAGATACCAAAAAACCCATGGTGGCCAAAAAGAAAACCCAACAACCCCCAAAACAAAACAAAAAACATTTCCATCTGCAACTGGCCAGAAGACAGCACTCCTCCTATCGGGTACAGACCTGGGCATGATGATAAACGTGTTCATGCCCTCCAGGCTTGATTATCACAATGCATTAAATGTAGGAATGAAGACACATGACCTAAAAAACCTCCAGTTGGTACAAATGGCAAAAGCCGATCTGCATTGCAACACAGGCAACCCTGAATCTATCACGACAGTGCTCTGCTCTCTGCATTAGATTTTATATTAGGGATAGGAAAAGCAGTTCAAAGGAAATAGAAACCACCAGCATCCTCCATCCCAAATCTTCACCTGCTTTTGGAAACAAAATCAAACCAAACTTTCAGGGGTCTGAACCTTTCAGAGAACTCCCCTACTCACCTGCCCCATTTGTGTACTGGAACCAGAAGAGCTGAACTACGGTGAAAAATCAGCTTTCACCATGTTTCCAGCTGGGTCTGGAAGCACAAATCTTATGGGAAAGCTGCTTCTCTCAAGAGCTCCAGCCCCATTTAGCATACTCAAGAGATTTTAATAGTGGCTGAGCTTTAGATAAGCATATGTGCTGTATATTTTTGGATGGGTTTCTAAGTTTTGGGAAGGTGCCCACAGCTTTTGGATGGACACCTTTGTATTAGAAATCTAAACAGATAAATAAAATCTGAATTAGTAAATTGTACCCAAACTGAACCCACACTCTGGACTTTGAGGTTCTGCAGAAATTAGCTCACAGTTACCACATAATAAAATGTTAGATAATGAACATATAAACCTTCTCCATTTCCCCTGCGACTGTTCCCCTTTTTCAGTATGAGTGCACACTGCAGACGAATCCTCATGTGTGAGCAAATTTTCTACATGTTCTGCCATGTGTACCCAATAATCATGGCAATGGGCCAAATCATTTTAAGGACTTTCATCTATTAGCCAAACAAAAGTTGCCTAATTTTCTGTCTGGCAGGATAACAGCTGTGCCAGGGGATGAGTCTCAATGCCAGGGGAATTCTACTTGGAACAGAATAGTAAATGCTATAAAAACAAGGCCAAAAGGAAAAACGTTCATTCTGTAGTGTATGCCTTGTCCTTTCTTCTCATATCTGACATTTGTATTGATGGAAGTCCTGTGGGTTTTGAAGGAATAAGAGAGCTTTAAGGACAGTAGGAACTTCTGTGTCTGGGAACCACAGACTAGGTCATCAATAACACTAGAGACTGGTCTCTATTCCTTACACAGTAAATGAGTTTCATAGAGTTATACCTAAGGTTCTGATCAGTACACTTAGTGGAAGCACAGAGCAAAGCTTGGCCTCTGCTTATTGTAGAACAAATAATTCCATTTTCAAACAGTCCCAGAAAATCCCACTTCTTACATTTCAGTTTCATTGTATCACCCTCAAACATTGGCTCCTGAGAAACAGAGCAAGGAGGTGGTCTCTGGGAAAGGAAAGCAGGATCAGCTTCTTTTCCCCTAAGAAGCTCATGGAATCTTATCTGCTCTGAATATAGAACTCTCCCCATTCTGGCCCTGTAATATTAGCTGTTACCTGAGTGTGTCTTTCTTCCTACCATAGATCACTTTAACCTTCCACAAAATTCCAGTCCTAAAGGCACATATGGCACCAGTTAATGGTAAATAGTCCTAAGTAAGACTGTAATGCAACATCACTCATGCAGCCGGCCAACCCAACAAATAAAGAGTTATAGTCCAAGCCTTGCTACAAGACAGAATTCACTAATAATTTCTCCATTCTGCCTACCAGTATCCCCAGTGACAGCACAACTCAATTCTTATTGGGATATTCATACATGTCAATTTTCTTCTCAACACCTCTACCGACAGCTTAATCATGTGAGCAAGACACCAACAAAAGATTAACTGCCCTATAATTAGTGGGCAGCCATTAGCAACTCATTTATCTTCGCCTGCCTATTGCCCTGGGATGACAGGCCCAAATACATACACTTCCTACATACGATAAATGCAGGATAAACTGAAGTGTACTTCCAGTTCCTCATGAAGGAACAAGTACTTTCTAAAATTCCCCCACTCAGATGGGCACCATGAACCAGACTCAGACTTCCTTAGCAAGATCTTGTTACCAAATACATATTCTGGAGATGTGGCTTGAGGTGCTTATAGATTTCCAAAACAGAGTTTGAAATACAACAGAGTTTCTCTACCAGTAGTGCAGAAGTGATGCTGTTACATATGCAAAATTTGCTTGCTTTTTGACAGAACAGCAATTTTCACAGGACACAGATTTCTGCAGTAAAAAGGGAAAGAAAAAAAAAAAAAAAAAAAAGATAAATGGTCCATGTCAGCACAGGGCCAGATGAGGGGGAAATGCAATCACACAAACCAATAGGCTGAAGAGGGTTCTGTGCATTTACTTTTTTATGACATAACATCGCAGTGTCTGCTCCCAGCCTGACTCTGAGTGTATTACTCTTTAAAATGCTTTGGACACATTTGAGAATTGTATATTAAGATTATTGACTGCAGCTCACTGCAAGTAAAAAAAAACCCCTAACATCTAGAGCCCTGCAAATCTGCGGATATCTGCTTTATATCCATTCGTGGACCATGTTTGTAGATCTCGGACGGATGCAGATACAAATTTTGCATCTGCGCAGGGCTCTAATCACATCCACATTAATATCTTGTAGCCCTAAGATACAGGAAGTCTGGCTCTCAGACATTAATACATGCATTGGGAAAGCCTTAAACATGCCCTGTTCTTTTGTAATGCTATTCAGATAGGAATTTATGATTCATTGGTACTAGCTAGTCAGAAACAATTATTTTCTGTGAAGTACTTCCTGGAGATGCAATTCAAAACAGTGTTAACATGAGGAAAATGTTGACATTTGTTCAGTGGATTGAGGATGATCTAGAAAAATTCCATAATCACAGAAGCTGGTTTAGATTTCATGCTGTATTTTGAATTATTGTGCTGCATTATTATCTGAAAAATATATAATTGTACTGGTCAGTAACCTGTGAATAGTGTTTACCCTTTGCTTTGAGCCTCTGTTTTGAGGAACTGGTCTTGTCTGAACGGTTAGGACTGTCTGGACATGCTTTTTAGTTATTATCCTCTGCTGTTTTATCTTTGCATTTTCATCGTTTCCTTCATCTATTACATTTGAGGTCTGTTCAGACCAAATTTTAAAGCCCGACCTGAACTCAACTAGACCCACAGCCCACCCAAACACGACCCAAGCCCGAGAGTGTTGAGTCATCTCATTTTCAGACCCAGCCCAAGACCTGCTCAATACTTCCCCCCGAACCTGTATTAGCGCTGCCACTTGGAGCTCGGTCTGGTGGGGTGCTTTCCGCTCGCATGCCTGCAATCTGTCTTCGGCAACCTCATGCCCATGAGGTCAGTGCAGCCGCAGATGTGTGACCCCTCCAACTGGCCACTGCCGCCTCACTGGACTGTGTGTGCTGCAGAGGGAATGGCACTGCAACTCGTCAGCCCACTCACACCACAGTGCAGCAAAGAGGTGGTGGGTTGTTTTCAGACCCAACCAGACCTGAACGCAACATTTGCTGGGTTCGGGTCAAGTTGCAAGACTCCATATTATATGGAAATTTTAATGCTTTGGCACTAAGACTGCAATATGAACAATCCCTCTGTTGAGTGACTATGTTCCAATTTAATCTCACCTTTCTGAATTTCTGAGCTAAGTGAGATCCCTGAATATTCTAACACCACTCCCATTTTTAGCTCTGGATGATTCATTCACAAGAAAAAACAGCCATACCACGATGTGAAATAGTCCAGTAGCTTTCAATCAAAAGTTTATTCTGAATCCAGCTCAGATATTCTCATTCATCTGTTTGAATCCAGCTGCCCACATGCCAGTCACTGGGCTTGTGATTTCCCTGTGTCTGAAACCCTGCAGGGATGTGTCTGCTCTAGGAAAAAATATTTTTGTAAGTGCTTCCAATGGGCAGTGATAAATCAGGCACTCTATCCCAAAAAGGAAGTCATCCATCCAGATCAGAGTTGATGTTTCAGTGTCAGAGCAAATAATCAAGTCACTTCATTCTTCTTGGCAGGACATTTGCCATACTGCTACCCAGCACTATCTTGCTGCAATGTTTGCAAAGTACCTTTGACAACAGCTCAGGAGGGAATCAGAGACAAGGATTACATGAGGGCCAAAAGCAAGATGTGAACCATTCAAGCTATCTCAATTCATACAGACTATCAGTGTACCACCACTTAGCTAGATTTTTTTTTACATTTGTTACTTAGTAAGAATGAAGACTCAAATGGTTCTATTGTAATGTAAGATATGACTCAAAATTTCTTCATACAGACTTGCTACACAACCTGAATTGTTAGAATTAGAACAATTGTATAACAGAACATTTTTGCAGGACATAGTTTGTATGAGCTATTATGGTTGACTTAATAAGTTAAATAGACACTAGACCAGAAAGTTACTTTGGGGTAAGATTTTATCAAATTAATTGGAGATCTGACCTTTCAGTTCCCAACCAGAATAAATAACTGTTTTCATTTGTCAACACATTCACACCGTTCTGACATTCTGTACTGCCACATAAGAGCAATACAAAACGTACACAGAAATCACGCTATACCATAGTCCTCCACAGTTACTTTGCTGAATGATTTAATGGATTTTGAACAGAGACTTTAATGATAAGGCAGACATTATAAAAAGAGAATGTCAGTACAAATGCAATGTCATTAGCTTGTACTAACTCCCAGAATCCCCATTTCTACCGTGAAGATTCACGTGTTTGGATAAGGGCTTGTGCCATCCTCAACCGAGCATTACCTTTTGTTTGAACTTGCAGTGAAGTCATAATCCTAGCTTTGTGAAATCACAACATGTTGCTATGGAAATTATGAAATCCCCATTTAAAGGGAAGTATCTTCAGTCCCCCCTCCCCCCATTTCTGATCTGCATTATCCACCGGTCCAGGTGTACATACAGCACAGATTTTAAAATGCAAACAAAATTTTTACATTTTAAGACTCTTCCCAGAGAGACAAGGTGTGTGAGGTAGTATCTTTTACTGGACCGACTTCTGTTGGTAAGAGAGACAAGCTTTTGAGCTACACAGAGCTCTTCATCTGTCTGGGAAAGGGCTCTGGGTGTCACAGCTAAATACAAGATCAAACAGCATATATTCTAACTACTTATGCTAAACTACAGGACCATTCAAGGTAAAGTGGTCCGTTAGTACCCTGTAGTCAAAGGACAAAAAGAAGGGGGGCTAGTGGGTTGCAGATTGTTGAAATAAGCCATATTTCATTTAATAAAGACACTGGATTTATTGCTTATTTCAACAGTCTGTAACCCACTAACCCCCCTCCTTTTTGTTCTATGATTACAGGGGTGTTAATGGGTCACTTCCCCTAGAATGTGTGCTAAGGGACTATCCAATCTGTTTGATCTTGTATTTAGCTGTGACGCTCAGAGGGCTTGTCTTCATGTTCAGTTCTGATACAGCTGCACCACTGTAAAAATCACTCATTTAGCCACTCTGTAAAACCACCACCACAAGCTGCGGTAGCTATGTCGGCCCGTTGACATAGGGCTGTCTACGCGGTGTGTCGCTCAAGGCATGGATTTCACCCCCATGAGCGACGTCGTTATACCAATATGGGTCTGTAGCACAGACCTGGCCTGAGTACCTTTCCCAGACCTGAAGAAGAGCTCTGCGTAGCTCAAAAGCTTGTCTCTCTAACAGACGTTGGTCCACGATATTACCTCACCCACCTTGTCTCTGTAATATCCTGGGACTGACACATCTACAACAACTAGGCTCTTACCAGCCTGCCAAAACAAGATCCTCCTCTCCCACACACACTCACCCACCAAAGGGAATTTCACCCAATGATTCCTGCATCTAGCCCAATGACTTGTGGTTGAACTAGAGCCCATAATTTAGAAAGCCATTCATTCTTGATTTACAGACTCCAAGGGATGGAAAGTCTACCATCTCATGGTAATCTGTGCCAATGATTGATTGCCCTCATTGTTAAAACTGTGAATCTTATTTCCAGTTTGAACTTTGGTGGCTTCAGTTTCCAGCCACTGGATTTTGTTATACTTTTGTCTGCTAGAATAAAGAGTCCATTATTACCCGTGGGTGCTGGCCCAGGCCCCACCACACCACCCCGGATGTTCCTTCACGCCCCCTAGGAGGGCACGGTCCACAGTTTGGAGACTACTGATCTAGACCAAATGAAATTAGTGGGCAGCAGGTTTAAAACAAATAAAAGGAAGTTCTTCTTCACAGTGCCCAGTCAACCTGTGGAACTCCTTGCCTGAGGAGGTTGTGAAGGCTAGGACTATAACAGAGTTTAAAAGAGAACTAGATAAATTCATGGAGGTTAAGTCCATTAATGGCTATTAGCCAGGATGGATAAGGAATGGTATCCCTAGCCTCTTTTTGTCAGAGGTTGGAGATGGATGGCAGGAGAGAGATCACTTGATCATTACCTGTTAGGTTCACTCCCTCTGGGGCACCTGCCATTGGCCACTGTCGATAGACGGGATACTGGGCTGTATGGACCTTTGGTCTGACCCAGTATGGCCGTTCTTATATTCTTATGACTATCTCTGACAGGTGTTTGTCTAACCTGCTCTTTTGTAGTAAGTCCAAAGCTGACTCCAAAGAATAACAAAGGGTTCTCACAAAACTGGGCAACAAAATGGCAGATGAAATTCAATACTGATAAATGCAAAGTAATGCACATTGGAAAAATATAATCCCAACTATACACACATCTTGGAGTCAGTGTGGCTATTTCCCTGAAAACATCTGCTCAATGTGCAGCAGCAGTAAAAAAGCTAACAGAATGTTGGGAACCAATAGGAAAGGTAAGAAGATAAGATAATAAGACAGCAAATCTCATAGTATCACAATATAAATCTATGGTATGCCAACAGCTTGAATACTGCCCCATCTCAAAAAAGATATATTAATATTGGAAAAAGAACAGAGAAGGGCAACAAAACGTAGAGGTATGGAACAGCTTCCATATTAGAAGAGATTAAAAAAACTGGGACTGTTCATTTTAGAAAAGAGACAACTAAGATGCGATATGTTAAAGGTGTATAAAATTATGAATGGTGTGAAGAAAAAGTGTTATTTACCCCCTTCACATAACAAAAGATCCAGGGGGCACCCTATGAAATTAATAGACAGCAGTTTTTAAAACAACATACAGAAGTATTTCACATAGCGCACAGTCAACCCATGGAACAAACTTCAAACTGTTGTGAAGGCCAAAAGTGTAACTAGGTTAAAAAAAGACTTAGATAAATTCGTGGAGGATATGTCCATCAATGGTTATTAGCTACGATAGGCAGGGACACAACCCCATGTTCTTGGTGTTCCTAAGCCTCTGATTGCTAGAAGCTAGGACTGGACAACAGTGGATGGGGCACTTAAAATTGCCCTGTTCTGTTCATTCCCCCTGGAGCATCTGCCACCGGCCACTGTCGGAATATAGGATAGTGGGCTAGATGGACCATTGGTCTGATCCAGTATGGCCATTCTTATGTTCTTATGGACCAAGGCAGAGCTTATTTTGTGTTTAGGATAAAGGTGGAGGTCCTAGTTTTATTTTTATTTGTATTATGTTAGCACCCACATTTTACTACCACGAGACAGTCCGCTCCCCCAAAATCTTAAGTCTAAACAGACAAGACAAAGTTTGAGATGGGAAACCGAGGCACAGAGCAATGTAGTGACTTGCCCAAGGTCTCTCAGTAGGTCAGAAGCAGAGCAGAGAATAGAACCCACAGTCTGGGTGGAGTGACTGTAAATACCTTACAACTGAGAACAGGAACAGCCCCAGGCATTTTGCCAGATGGGTGGAGAATGTTGTTGGCAACCTAACCCACCCCCAAACAGCTGAGAGAATTACCATCTCCTGGGTAAATAACACATTTTCTTGAATATTTGCTCCCATTTCTGTGGGGTGTCTATTGTGGAGTATAGGAGTGTAGAACTTGGACTGCAACCCCCAGGACAGCTGTACAGGGGGAAAAGGCTAGTGCTGACAGTCACATTCAGGTCTGAGCCTGGTGAGCAAGATTTCTCATCCATTTTTAGCCCACTCTTGAATGAGCTTTGACAGCTTTTATTTTAACATCCCTCAGTTCTGGGACTTCAGTGGGCTACCAAAATCCTTTAGCAAATACCACAGGGCCCTGCAGCTCTAAACTCACACACACGACCCTAACTTCAACCTAGGAACTCCCAGGGTCCTTTACCATGAATGTCCAAGGGCCACATAATCCGAACCCACAGACCTTTTCTACCCACGACCTCCTAGGCCCCTGGCCCCAGCCAAGTTCTCTCACAAATATTCGGACAGTGGATTGGGAACCGGACTCCCTGGGTCACCAGCAACCCCCATACCCTCGGCTCACGCGGCCCCCACCTAATCCCCGCTCTCAAATCAGGCCGGTGTGAGCCGTTCACAGCTGTGCTGGCTCGGGAGGTCACTGCCTGGGCCTCAGCCCCCCACCCCCAGGCCTCCCCCCCGCCCCCGCACTCACGCGTTCCCCACGTGGATGCGGGGGGCCACCTCGTTGCTGTGCGCGCTGGGGAGGCTGTAGCAGCCGCTCCCGTTAGCCAGCAGGTCGTTCAGCTCCTCCACGGAGATCTGATAGTCGGACATGGCCAGATCTGGGCCACTCCCTGCAGCCCCCACTCTGACTCCGCAGCACCAGGCAGGGCCGTGCTTCTCTCCCCCCACGGGCGCGGGGCTGAGCCTGATAGGAGGGGCTGGGATCAGCTGGTTCTGCCAGCAACACCCAGCGGCCGGGCACAGACGGGTCACTTTGAGCATGAGAGCCGCACGCCCCGCCGGGCAGGGGTGATTTTTCCTTGCCCCGCTGCCCCCCCCAATCCTGACACCTCCTCCCGGAGAATCGCGCCTCCAGTCTGTCCCTCCCCGCGGCCCCCGGATAGGACCCCGCAGCCCCGGGAACAGGTGTCGAGTTCGCCTCCCGCGCCGGCCCCATGGAACGTTGTGTATCAAACGCTGTATCGCGCTGCCGGCCGGGCCGGGCCGGGCGCCGACTGGGCGTGTATGGCTTTCTCCGGCCCTTTCACAACAGGCCCAGGGAGGAGGCGGTGGGACGGGACTCTAGGGCGGAGCTGGGGCAGCGGGCGCCTCTCCCTGCCAGTGCGGGGCCCGGCCATGGCCACGCTGAAGCTGCTGGTGGTTGGGGACAGCGCGGTGGGGAAGTCCAGGTGCGGAAAGCGCTCCGGGAGCCGAGGGGCCGGTTTCTGGGGCGGGCCGGGGGGTTGGTGTCCTGGGAGGTCGCTGGGCGTGAGCGGCCCGTTCACCCTGTCTCTCCTTTCCCCGCAGCCTCTTGCTGAGATTCACCGATGACACGTTTGAGCCGTACTTGAACCCCACGATAGGTGAGTGCTGCGAGCTTCCCTGGCCCGGCACGGCCCGGCCCGGCCTCCGCTCCCGGGGGCTCCAGGGGATCTCTTAGCACTCGGGGATCTGTGCGCGGGCTCCAGGGCGAGCCCCCCAACCCTGCAGCGTTACAGATGGCTAATAGGAGGCTGAAATAGGGCAGACTTGTAGGGAGCCAGGACCCCCGGTGACACCGGCTGTAGGGATCTGGATTTGGGCGTGGGAGGAGCGCGGCAGAGGCCTCCTAAAGGGCTTTCATAACTGGCTGTTATGAACACACACCGCCTGTGTTTGTGTTGATGCCTCTTCTCCGTGTGAGGTGCTGTGTACAGCCCCGTGCAGCTGTGAAGTGACTGTACCTCCGCCTGTCCTGAGGTAGCAAATGTTGGCGAACTTCATAGCAACTAAACTGAACGCAGAGAGCAGCAAAGCCTCTTTCTGTGTTTGTCCTGACATTGCTTCCCTCTCTTTTGCATACCAGGTGTCGATTTTAAAGTGAAGAAAATGGTGGTTGACGGCAATCCAGTGCAACTTGCAATATGGGTACGTTTTGCCCAGGACAGATAAAGACAAAACGCCTGCCCTTTTACATTATTAAAGTTTGCTGTACTTTAGAACAGCATTTAGTAGTGAATGGGTATACAGCAGGTCTTTGCATACACAGTATCTCGAGTATTTAAGTGCCATGGTTCTGCTAGTGTAAAATTGTGTGAAGTGGGCAAGGTGCCTAAATAAGACAAAGTCTCGAATATCAGGACTGTCCCTATAAAATCTGGACATTTGGGCAGCTTAGCTTCACTAGTTCTCCTGGATTCCTCTGCTGTGCATTAATGGACTTGACAAGACACAGCCACCCATGAAAGAGGATTGTTGAGCCCCAGGTATTCTCCAGGTAGACAGCCCTTGAACAGCCAAGACCTAATGGGGATGAAATGCCCAAAACAGCTACTGTATGGATTTGGCTGTATTATTTCTATGAGCTGTTTTGCATTGAACTCCCGGTGCACCATGCTGAAAACAAACTCTAGACTTGCCATGCACTGCCCCATTCCCTCAATTAATGGGAAAGGGGAATTCAGTGTTGTAATCCCTGTTTAAGGCTAAAGACTTATTTTCAGAGGGTCTGAGCCTTCACCCACAACTGTTGGCTTCAGTGGAGGAATTCAGAACCTCTGAAAATTAGGACACCAGACTGCAACTGCATGGGAAGTATAATTATAATATTTCTAAAGCTTCCTCTCCACACCCACATCCACGGTGCTTGGTGCTCAGTGCATTAGCATGATCATGATGTAAAATACCCCAAAATAAAAATCTATTTAAAATGCCACACTTAAAATTAAAAGAAAAACTTGAAACTTTCTCTCTCTCCCAAAAATATATTTCTACATGATGCCTGTTGTTCTCCTCTCTGTTTGCTTTCCGCCCCCTCCTCTCTCAGATCCTCAACTTTTCTTATTTAAGTGAGGTGAGGGAGTCTGAAATGAAACTCGGAAGGAGCAGGTTCCATATACATGAGGGCACAATTGTCTGTCAGCCTCAGATCTAAAAGGTGGATTGTGTGGGGGTAGATGCTCATATGCATGAGGCCTCATATACATTATCATGGACCAATACTATTAAGGCTTTAAAATAAAAACAAAACAAAAAATGCTATCATAGGCAACCTGCCAATTTGCATCATTTACATTGATGGTCTTTAAAGCAGGAGTAATACAATCATGGTTGCTCAAACCAGGGAGGAAGTATGCTTCTTACATTCTGAACAAGTTGCAAGCAAAGAAGCAGCTCTTCCAAGAGGGAATTCAGATAACCAAGCTTCAGTCACAAGGGTGTGTCTTGCTGTTCTGAGATCAAAATCAAAGGCAGAGCCTGTGCAAATTGTGCTGCTGAAAAAGATACCTTTGCAGCAGTATGTTAACAGCATCAGGAAAAATCACTCATTACTGACGTGCAGCTGTATTATATAAAACAAAAAATAAAATCCATAAACAAGCCGCCAACCCCCAGAAAGATGTGCAGAGTCCATCTTTGTTTAAGGTTTATGCCAGCTTACTGTGTTCTGTGCATAGGTACTCTGATGACTGGTGCTCTGTGAAAATTAAAAATCATAGATAAGGTTGAAAATAATAAATTTGTTTTTTCCAGCTGTTCTGGAATTAGTATTTGGAAAGCAAATAAGATTTCAAAAGCTTGGTGGGGAAATTGGTCTCTAGAATAGCAAACAGACTTGGAACATAGCACTTGCCCTGCATTCCGTGTACTTTACATTTCATAAAGGCTCAGCAGGGAATGTTCTGAAATTCCCTGTGGCTGGATGTAATCTGCCCTAGCATGCCAGATGTTAAAGCAGAACTGCTTATTTCTAAGAACATCACTTATGTAGTGGCTTTAAAATCCTTCCTCTTCTTTTCGATTAGTCAGGTATCCAGGAGAAATTTTTAAAATGTTTATTTTACTAAGATTGCATCAGACACTGCAGGATTTTCATTATTATTAAAACTGGGGATAACATTTAGGAACCATTTCTTTTTTGTTCTTTCATATTGCCAGTTGCACTGGTACTAAGGAGTGCTCTGCTGTTGTATCCTTGTGTACTTGGAGGCTTAAGGGTATAATAACAAACTGCTTAATAAAAACTCCACAGGTCAGCCCTTGTAAGGGAATACCATGCCAAACCTATGATTGAATATTTGCTGAACAAAGTAGAGAAATTACATGGTGGTGTAGGTGTCCACCATGTCTAGGTTTTGTAATCCTTACATATATTTAAATAAAAGGGCAATTTCTGAAGTAGACTCATAGACCTTCAGGCCAGAAGGCACCACTGTGATCATCTAGTCTGACCTCATTGCAGGCCACAGAACCTACCCACCCACTCCTATAATAGACCCATAATCTCTGGCTGAGTTACTGAAGTCCTCAAATAATGATTTAAAGACTTCACGTTACAGAGAAATCCACCATTTACCCTAGTTCAAACCAGCAAGGTCCCGGTTCTCATGCTGCAGAGGAAGGCAAAACTCCCCCAGAGTCTCTGCCAATCTGGCCCTGGGGAAAAATTCCTTCCTGACCCCAAATATGGTGATCAGTTAGACCCTGAGCATGTGGACAAAATCCACTAGCCAGACACCTGGGAAAGAATTCTCTGTAGTAACTAAGAGTGCTTCCCAACTAGTGTTCTATCACGGGCTGTTGGAGACATTTGCTATTTACAGTCGCAGATTGACTATATGCCACTGTAGGCAGTCTCATCACACCATCCCCTCCCTAAACTTAACAAGCTCAGTCTTGAAGCCAGTTAGGTTTTTTGCCCCCATTACTCCCCTTGGGAGGCTGTTCCAGAACTTCACTTTCACTCCTCTGATGGTTAGAAACCTTCGCCTAATTTCAAGCCTTAAACTTATTGATGGCCAGTTTATAGCCATTTGTTCTTGTGTCAACATTGGTGCTTAACTTAAATAAAAGAAATCATAGTGGGTAAAATTTCATATTCCTTTGCCCCTTTATAGTCCTTTCTGTGGGGGGTTGGACTTCATAATGCACTCTGGAGATGTTTGAAGTCTTTCTGGAGGGAAATATAGGGCAGGGATTGGCAACCTTTGGCCCGCGGCCCGCCAGGGTAACCACCCTGGCAGGCCGAGGGATGTGCTGGCCACCGCTTCCTGCAGCCCCCATTGTCCTGGAGCGATGAACCGCGGCCAGTGGGAGATGTGATTGGCCAAACGTGCGGACGTGGCAGGTAAACAAACCGGCCCGGCCCGCCATGGCGCTTACCCTGGTGGACCATGTGCCAAAGGTTGCCGATCCCCGATATAGGGTATTGCACTAATAATTTAATTGACCTGTGAATAACTTTTAATCTAATTTCTCATCTGCTTGGGATCCTGCTAGCCTCAAAATGATTTACACATACTGGGCCCTCTTCTTCTACTGCAGGATAAGCCAACGGGAGAATCAAACCCACTGTCTGCTCCTCCTGCCTGCAGTGTCTTGCACTGGATGAATATTTATTCCCATTTCCTCACCTCTTCCACTTTCAACCCTGCTCATTGTGTATATATATAGTATTGTTTTGTTTGCAGTATTATTCCCTTATTTATTTTTAAATGGCCTTCCAGATCTGAGTCTCATTGGCTTTCTTCACCTCTTTACTCCTGTTCAGAGGCTGACATCCTCTTTAATTTTAACCTTCAATTATAACCTCTCCTTTTTCACGGTTTTTCTTTTCATCTCATCACTTTTCC